TAAAATTATTTTTCTTACAATGCGAATATATAATTTATTTGTTATAGTTTAGTTGACTTATAATCTGAAATTAGCTTAGTTTCTTGTTTTCTTACCCACCTTACCTGCTGCATATATTGGTAATTTATGATGCAAAGGTTTGTAATATGAGTACGTATAAATAATAAGGGATGATTTCAATCTGAATAAACTTTTTGTAAATTTGAAGTTTTGAGTCAATCATTCTCTACTTGTTAAATAAATAATCCTTTACTATTAGCTCTTTATTATTATAATATAAAAAAGAAACCTAATTTTCCAGCAGGGATATTTTGGGTTGGGTTTGGCACCAGGTCAGCCTTTTGACTGAATTTGGTGGTAGACTTTGAATGCAGAGGTAGAAACAAATCCAATCAAAACGATTAGTCCACAACAAAATTATAATTTAGTGCTTAAAATTTTATTTAAAATTTACTGAATTTAAACTTTAATTAAAGTGAAAAAGTTATTATGTACATATATTATAAACTTCTGATGGTTAATTTTTAATTTTTAATTTAATAAAACAGAAAAGATAACTCATTGATATGTTGGAGTCTGAAACAATTAAGTTGGATTAAATTTTAATAAATTAATTATATTTTAGAAATTTTTTTTTGGTGATAATTAAAATATTTTAATTAAAATAACTATAATTAATTAAAAATTTAATTGAAACATTTTTTTTCATAAAAAATACTAAAAGATATATTTTATTTCAACTCTCGATAAAAAACATTATTTTATAAATATATTAAAAAATCATTTGGTATAATGATTAAATTAAATGAAGCCATTAGGGTTCCGTTCAATTAACTTCCCGTTTTTGGTTTAACCACTTAAATACCCGAACTAATCAATTTCTTAATAAAAAAAAAAAGAAATCTTTTTGCCCTTACACTTTGAAAGCTCGTTGGCTTACTAAAGAGAAGTCCGTCGATGCTCCCACAGAGGTTAGTTTCTTCCTCTGGGTCTCTCTTTCTTTGTTTCTCAGAAGAATCAGCGCGCACGAGAGAGAAGAGAACGCAGAAAGAGAAGTCCACTGGTTTATAATTCCATTGATGGGTGTTTTATCAAATCTAAGAGGACCAAGAACAGGAGCGACCAACGAAGGATTGCCCCTATCTGATGTATCTTCTTCTTCGTCTTCCCCGTCAGCTCCCAAGAGAAAATGGTCCAATCTGTTGCCTATTCTGGTCGCGCTTGTGGTTATAGCGGAGATCGCCTTTCTGGGTCGCCTTGACATGGCTAAAAATGCGGCTCTCGTCGAGACTTTGACCGATTTCTTTTACCCATCTCCGATTCCACTACCTGTCGAGCCTAAGGCTCCTAAGAAGGACATGGCAGTAACGAGAAAAGAAGCTATCGGTTTTGGAGCGGACAGTTGCGAGAAGTGGTTGGAGAGAGAGGATGCTGTGAGTTATTCGAGGGATTTTAACAAGGATCCTATATTTGTCACTGGTGGTGATAAGGTTTGTTCTGTTATTTTCCTCTTCTTCCTTTTCAAACTGCTATAGATCAGATGTTATGTAATTTGAAATTTGAATGGTATTTTCATCGTTTTACATTTTCACTAGCTATTTTAGGCTTTAGACAGGTCAAGGTGTGAAACCTTACAGGCATGTGAGCTTGGGGTTATTTTACTGCTTGTTTGGCATTTAGCAGATATCTTTAAGTTGATTGATTTTTTATGGAAATTTTCAAAATTCACCATTACTGTTATCATTGTAAGAGAAGTGATAGTTTCATAGGTGTTAGCTAATATAACAGGTGAATTTTAATAATGAGACAGTGAGATTGAATCCTGTTTTCACCCGGTTTAAGGGATGGTGGGCATGCTAACTTCATTTTGTAGCCAACTGAAAAGGCAATAAGAAACATTTTAATACTGATCCGTGATGCTTCAATAATCTAGAGTTAAGCCATATTGGTGGTGACTTGCGGTATTTGGTGTCTCTTCATTCCGATCTTCTTTTACATGCAAGGGGAAGCTGCTTTGGCTTTTTGGCGACTCTTGATTCTATCACACTTGTCAATGTAGGGACTGGCCTGAGTTGGGTTCCATGTTCCTTCAAAATAGGACGGTTTTCACTTGGACCATTTGCTGAGTAAGGTCTTGATCACTGATTAAGTATCGAAATGTTTCATTTCTGGTAGTTTACTGAGGAGTTGATAAGATTGTTTTCTCCATAGGCCAAAGATTACTTATGAACTTCTCTTGAAGCCCTTGAAACTGTATTATGAGCTTAAAAAATAAGTAGATATCAGGAATTTTGTCTCTTTTTAACATATAATCTAGTTTAATTACGTCTTAGAAATATAAAATGGCTTTAGTGTTGTTTTGTTCCTCTTGTTTATGTAGTTTGAGATGAATTTTCAGTGGATGCAACTGCTTTTTGCAGTTTGGTTATATTTTGTTCTTGTTCTGAACTTTCTTACCCATGGTATAGGAGTGGCAATCTTGTTCTGTGGGGTGTAAGTTTGGATTTAACTCGGATAGAAAACCTGATGCTGCATTTGGTACCCCTCAACAAGCTGGAATAAGTAGTGTGCTTCGATCAATGGAATCAGCTCAGTACTATTCAGACAATGATTTAGATAACGCAAGACGGTGGGTAAGCACGAGCTATAATTCTAGCAATCATTTTATTTGTTGTTCAGAGATTTACATGCAGCACTGGCAGTTGTCTATTGCTGCCTAGGATTTTTGGAATTATGAGAACTTTCACTTGGTGTAATGGTTCGCAACACTGTCTTGTCTTTAATTGATCTATGAATGTTGGAAAATTGATTTGATGTTTTAGTTGCAAAGCCAGTTTAAGGAGCAGATTGTGAAAGAAAAATACTTGGTGTTTCATCAAATTCTTTACTTGTGTCAGTTCTGTATGCAGAAGAAAATGAAGTACCATAGTAATTGATATAATATGTAATAAAAGTTAAAACTTACAAAATGGTCCAGAACCATAAATAATTAGTTACATCAGCATGACTTGTATGCAACATAGTAGCAGGAGAGGAAGGGAGAGTATGACATGCTAAAAAACAGGGCAATTTAATTTTGGAATTCACTAGATTGTTAAATATCATGATCACTTCATTCTCAACCTGCGATAAAACTGGAATCTGCCTGCACTTCTTTTCATTTTGACAGTAATCATACTTTGTGATACATATGGCGGATTAGGCAGTGTGTTGAGCCCTTTTTTTGGTATGAGTCAATAACAAATTGTTGTGGCTTGGAATTTGAAGCTTTTGTCAGGAATGGCAAATAGATGTGGATGATAGAAAGCTAAGAATATATAAACTGAAGAATGCACTAGGAAGTTTTTCTTTTTTAAAAGAAGAAAAAGAATGGTAAGAAGGATGTTAGGAAAAATAGTCCAAGGAGAATCTTTTATCCCTTCGGAGATTGATGAAAATCTTTGATGATTATTAAACGAAAGGATGCAAAATAGATGATCCATTTTACTTTTTCAGATTTTTTTTTCAGATTTTTTAAACCTGTAATTTCATCTGGTGTGGTTAGGGTCTTTGAGATCCTATAGTTTAAAGAGCTTAAGGAATCATGCAGTGCATGCTACTTTCTGCATAAGAATTTTTACCTCTAGTAGCAAGACCTCCAGTTGAACATGTCATTTGCATTTAAATGCAGTATTTGGTACATAAGATATTTTATAGTTTTTATATCTTAAACACATACTAACACTCATAGAACATGTTTTTCAGTGTGTGTATGTATGGTAGTTAAGTATTAAAAAACAGTTCTTTAGAGAATAGTAAAAACAAGTCTTGACTACTTGCAACTCATATCGTATCTTACTTTAATTATCTAAATATTGTTCTTATTTCACTATTTCACAAATTTTTATGTATGAAACATGTATAAATACTGAAAATGAAAAAGACTTTCATGTACCAGCTTGAGTCTTCATTTGTTGCTTTTGTTTCCCACTTCTCTTTTTCCCTGAGTATCTGAAATAAGTTATTTGATCTCATATTTTATTGAAGTATTTTTCTTCTACAAAAGCAAAATGATTTATGTAATAAATTGCTAATAAAACTGATATTTTCAATTTTTTGTCCTTTAGGAGGGGGTATGATGTTGTAATGACAACTAGTCTCTCATCAGATGTTCCCGTTGGGTATTTTTCCTGGGCTGAGTATGATATCATGGCGGCAGTACAGCCAAAGACAGAGAAAGCTCTTGCAGCGGCTTTCATTTCTAATTGTGGAGCACGCAACTTCCGCTTACAAGCTCTTGAGGCACTGGAAAGGGCAAACATCAAGATCGATTCTTATGGTGGTTGTCATAGAAACCGTGATGGAAGAGGTATACATGTCTAACACTGTTTAAGTTAAAATGTGGATAATGTGCTTATTTATTAGATATTGATAATTAAGACTCTCATTCTTAAGTTGACTTAGTTTATTCACGTCTACTGGAAGATGGTAGATGCTGACATGTTGTATATTTTCTTGAGACGTATAGTTGTATAATATTACATCTAGTAATCTTCTGCTTTAATACATCTTTCGCAGTTGACAAAGTAGAAGCTCTTAAGCACTATAAGTTCAGTTTGGCTTTTGAGAACTCAAATGAGGAGGATTATGTCACTGAAAAATTCTTTCAGTCTCTTGTTGCCGGTATGAAACTGCAACTCTTTTTTTGTGTCCCTGCCATTATTTGGTTTATCTCTGCTGTTTTTACTCTTACGATGCTTTCTCTTATCAATGATGATGCCTTCTGCTTTTGTGGTTGTGGTCTAACTAGATCAAATTTGGGGGTTTTCTGTTAGGAAATAATTCAGAATTTGTGATCATTCAGGATTATTCTATCATGAGTTGGAGGATGAAAGAATTGGCTAGTCTATCTATTTACCTATGAAAGTAAAATTGAGAATTAATCCATGTCAACTCTTCATTTTTTTAAAAATTATTTAATATTTAATATGGATATATAATTATCATCTATTTGAAGTTTTTAAATATAAAAATAATTTTTTAATATATTAAAACAAAAATAATGTGAAAATATAGATAATAGTTATATACCTATTTAATGTGATAATATATACTAGTTATCTATTTAAATATTTTAAATACGAAAACAGAATATAAGTTTGACAATATTACTATGTCATTAATTTTTAGTTGACTACAAACTTTGGAATTATGCACTATATAAACTTTTGATGACATATTTTTCCTATCCATCATGCAACTTTTTCATCAAAAATTAAGATATGATAATTTTTATTCACATAAATATTTCTTTTACTTGTATAGTAAAACAAACATCTATTTTAAAATTTGGATTTCAAAGTGATTCACAAGTTTCTCTTTCTCTAATCATTTGGAGGTTGTAATTTCTTCTAAATCGTTTAATTGTTTATGGAGTAGCCTCTTGTCTGAGATCTCGATGTCATTCACTAATTGATCATATAATAATAATGCTGTCAAATTTTTATAGGAAATGTTCCTGTGGTTATTGGTGCTCCAAATATTGAAGACTTTGCTCCATCACCTGGTTCAATTCTACATATTAAGGAGCTAGGAGATGTTGAGTCAGTTGCAAAGAGAATGAAGTACTTAGCCGAGAACCCTGATGCCTTCAATCAATCATTAAGGTGAGGTTCTTCATTTTGGTTTTAGCATAAACATTTTACAAAAAATGTATAGATGCATTTTATGGATCAGCGTACTAGGACCGTGCATGACTTAAGATGGCTGTTGTTGACATTGGGAGTTTTGTTGACTAGATGGAAATATGAGGGCCCTTCGGATTCCTTCAAGGCTCTTGTGGATATGGCGGCAGTACACTCTTCTTGCCGTCTTTGCATTCACTTAGCAACAAGGATCCAAGAGAAAGAAGAGAAGAGCCTTAAATTTACAAGCCGGCCTTGCAAGTGTACCAGAGCCGCGGAAACTGTCTATCATTTATATATAAGAGAAAGAGGGAGGTTTGAGATGGAGTCTATCTTCTTGAGGTAACCATTTTTTGTTGCCACAGTTTAGCCATATTGGACAAAATTTCTACAAGGCTTGATTATATTTATTAACAACAAATCATTTGCATCATCTGCTATCCCATCTGTTTGACCAAAAAAGAGCGGTACAGCTATTTTGCCTCAAAGGCTTCATGGGTCAGAGTGATTTCTAACATCTTAAATAACTTAATAATATTTCTATCTATAGTCACTGAATAGTGCCTTAATAGTCACTGATTGGTTGTTATCTGTGTAAAAGAGTTGCTGAATCCTGCAATCACGTTCTTATGTGGTGCCCGGTAGTGTATGATTTTTGGACTATGATATATAGTCTGTTAGGGATGAATTGAGTGATGGCTGGGTCAGTGAAGGATGAAATATGGACTTGGGAGGGGATGTGTAAAAAGAAAAAATTTATGAAGTATATTCCTTTAACTATTTTTTGGGTGATTTGAAAAGAGAAAAATAGTAAAACTTTTGAAGAGATGTAGAGAGATGTCAAAAATCAGGAATAGATGGTTACATGATTTTGGTTCGTTGATTTTGGGACATGACATTTATAGGTAGAAAATTTTTGGGAATGTTATCGATCTACTAACATATTTGTAAATATCTTGTAAATGAGTGGTCCTCCCTTGGTGCTATTTTAACATGCTTACATACTTTTTATTTTTTTTTTAAAAAAAATTGTATGCTAACCAAATAAGTACAAAATATTAGATGATCACTATATAAAGTTATTAAATTACTATAAGGTGTAGAAAATTAATCTAGAAGTATGATCCCTCCTTACCACCATAAAATATCCCTAAAAGAGAGGATAGATCAAGATCTTTATTTTGCTTCTTTTATTGCATCATATCGCAGTACAACCAAAATTTTGGTTGGGAAAATAGATCTAATGCATATTTCTGGTTGATTGAAATGTCAGTGAAAACTGTGATATCTATCTTCCATGTGCAGGGATGGAAATATGACTCTGGATGCCTTGGAGTCTGCAGTGCTCAGTAAGTTCAGGTCAATGAAACATGTGCCAGTTTGGAAGCAAGAAAGACCCAAAAGCATAAGAGGAGGGGATGAACTTCGAATTTACCGGATTTACCCTGTAGGGTTGACACAGAGGCAAGCATTGTATAAGTTCAGATTTGAAGGGGATGCCGATCTCCGGAAACATATTGAAAAAAACCCTTGTGCAAAATTCGAGGTCGTATTCGTCTAGACGAGGTATACATCTTTTTAGACTCAGGACTTAGGAGAATTACACGTTTCATCACCTATGCTGAGATAGTTCGGAAAAAATACAAAGGTCATCTGTGGGGCCTAATTTCTTTCTGAATTCGTATCGGATGACTCTACGAGAAAAACTAACTACTCCTAAAGAGTACTCTAATAGTTTCTTTTAGGAAAATGTGATTGATGCAGCTAACGGTAGATTTTTCGTGGACAAAAATATATGAAACATTTTTTTCTTCATAAGAATTTACACTCAGAATCTGATGTAAGATTGTCTTATACACTTCCTAGTTGAGATTTTGTTCCTTAAGATCAGAATTTTCTTTTACCATTCTATTAAGTTTTCCTCACTTCATTAATGTTCCCAATGCGATGAAAATGTACTAGTTAGTGTGTTAATCTAATGATGGAGGGAGACTAGCAAATTTTGTTTCTTAATCGTGTTCTTATAAATATCTTAGCAAGCAATCGGAAGAAGCATAAATTATCACGTGACTTTTGAGACACGGCTTGGCTTTTGGTAAGTCGCGTGTATTTTTTTTTTTTTCTTTCTCTTTCCGGTAGATGTCCAAAAAATATCTTTTGAGTGTTTTTATTTAAAAGATATATTTTTAATAAAATTTAATATAAATAATTAATAATTAATAATTAATAATTAATAATTGCAAACACAATTTATGTGGGTAAATGGGATATATTAAAATTTTGTTTATATTATTTGTGAAACAAATTTCTTACGCTTTTTAAAATCTAATTTTATTAAATAAATATCGGGTCCTAGTGTAAAATATAAAATTTTTATTTTATTTCCATTATTGATTAAAATAAAATCAATATATTAGACTGTATTAAAAAAAATTAAATATTTTATTTAGAAAATGAGAGTTCATTTAGTGCGGGCGGCGGGTCGACGCCGTGACCTTTGGCTATTTCCTAAAGCTAAGTTTGCCTACCGCAAGCCCTTTTCTCTTTTTGAAAATCCCGTAAAATGTCTCAATTACTTAAATGTAAAATAAATAAATAAATAGGACATAATTAATAAATAATAATGTATTAATTAATTCAGCTGCAATTATTTGCTTTCAATTATTTTTTAAATTATAAATTATTTCTAATTAGATGATTAGTCGTTTTATTAAAAAGTAACTAAAAAATTATTTTTCAAAGTTAAATGAAATAAAACGTTAAGCTATTAAAATTCAAACATTAAGTAAAAATATGTTTTCTTTCCTAATTGTCTTTTTGTTGATTATAACTTCGTCATTAGTATCAGTTGGCTCCCCTGGTTACATTTCATCTGGTCTTAAATTATTTTATTTTAAAAAAAAAAACGTATTATTTGACTCAAATTTGCAGTTTTTGTATTATTTTATAAAAGAATTTAAATACTAATAATTCAGTCAAAAAGTAATTAGTATATTTTTATTGATTTTTTTTTAAAAAAAATCTAAAATACCAAGAAAATCAGAAAGTGCCAAAGCAAAAAAGAGCACAAGGTATTTCCTAGAACCAGAAGAACCATGAAAAAACATTTGTTTTTCTTGTGGGGGGTGGAGGGGGGGGGGGGGAAGGAAAAAAAAAACCCTCAGCCACCACCCAAAAACAATCCACATCACATGCCACTTGTCGGCATATTCTTTTTACGCCAACAAAACCGCGGGCTAAACGGTGAGGTCTATTAAACAAAACGACACAATTAAGAAGGAAAACGTCCACTTGTACGTCTCTCTATTTTCCGTCCTCTGAATCTGATCTTCAACACACACAAAGAGAAAAACTGACCTTTAACACCACCCGAAAGGCCATTATTAATCCTTCTTAAGGTCCCCCCTCTCTCTCTCTTCAAAAATGGTTCTCCTTATATCACAACCAATCGCTATTTTCGTTGGCTATAACACTTTCTGCTCTCACTCTCGCCTTGTTGTTTCTGCTATACACGACCACCGCCATGTCTTCGCTCTCTGTTCGCTTTCTTGGCCCGCAGCCATTCGTCTCCACTTCTTCTTCCAGGCCCAAGACGTGGGTTCTTGCCACTGCTCCGACTGTGGCGGTGCCGGCGTCGGGGGAGGTGGATGCTGTGCGGCTGGAGCCCAGAGTGGAGGAGAAAAATGGGTACTGGGTTTTAAAGGAGAAGTTTAGACAAGGTATCAATCCGCAGGAGAAGGTTAAGATTGAGAAAGAACCCATGAAGCTTTTCATGGAAGGTGGGATCGAGGAGCTTGCTAAGTTGTCACTTGAGGAGATTGAGAAGGAGAAGCTTAGTAAGGATGATATTGATGTTAGACTCAAGTGGCTTGGTTTGTTTCATAGGAGGAAGCATCAATGTAAGTCTTTTTCCCTTCATATCGTTTTTGAGTCGGTTTGATCTGGTTGTGGATTCTATTTTTTGTCTTTTCATTTCTTCTTATAAAAATAAAGCATTTGAGAGTTTCGTTTCCTCATAGAACTCATCTAGGTTAAGTTTAGAGGCTGTGGAGTTTGATTAATCTTCTTCATTAGGATTTAACATGTCCTTTTCCTCAGATAAGGAGAAAGGAAAAAAGTATAGTTCTGTAGCATATTCCATGAAAGGGATGAACCGAGTTCTTTTTACTTTTTCAGTTTTTGTAACTTATAATGTTTTTTTGAAAAGTTCTTAAAACTCTAACGGCTGAAAATCCAAGAGAAGCTACTCAACTTCATCTCTGAAAGTAGGATCCAGAACTCGAATTTAGAATCTTTATAAATGTTATTGTCTCTTCAGTCAAGAATACGATACATTTAGTCACGGACTGATTTGCTTTGAGTTTACTTATTTTATAGTAATATGATAGAGCAACAGTTTAGCCATCCACCTTTTTCTCCTAATGAAATTTGCTTAAATTGTTGATGGGCAGATGGTAGGTTCATGATGAGGTTGAAGCTACCAAATGGAGTAACAACAGGCCAACAAACTAGGTACCTAGCAAGTGTGATCAAGAAATACGGGAAGGATGGATGTGCTGATGTAACCACAAGGCAGAACTGGCAGATCCGTGGTGTGGTGCTCCCTGATGTGCCCGACATACTAAAAGGTCTCGAGGAGGTTGGTTTGACCAGCCTACAGAGTGGTATGGACAATGTGAGGAACCCTGTTGGTAATCCTCTTGCAGGCATTGACCCACATGAGATTGTCGATACCAGGCCTTACACAAACTTATTGTCTCAATTCATCACTGGCAATTCGCGTGGCAATCCTGCTGTTTCTAACTTGTAAGATTCTTTTTCTTGATTCCTTAAAAAGATAGTAATATTATCTTAAATGGTCATAATTACTGACGATAAAGATTCTTGAGTTGATGGAATTCATGTTAGACTTCTCAGTTGTCTATGTGGTGCATACTGGAATACCCATCATTCTTTAGCCATTATAACTAGTGAGGAACTTTGGAGCTATAATATAAAGGAAGAGGACATTTAATTTTAAGAACCCTTGAAATATTTAACTTATATATGCTATAAAATTTGATTCTGCATAAAAAACGTTTTTGGAAATGTTAAAAATTGCTTATGTTTATTGTCATCTGCACAGGCCAAGGAAGTGGAATCCGTGTGTAGTGGGTTCTCACGATCTCTATGAACATCCCCACATAAATGATCTTGCTTACATGCCTGCCAACAAAGATGGAAGATTTGGGTTCAATTTGCTGGTGGGTGGGTTCTTTAGTGCCAAGAGATGTGCAGAGGCAATTCCTCTAGATGCTTGGGTCCCAGCCGATGATGTGGTTCCAGTTTGCAGAGCTGTATTGGAGGCCTTTAGGGATCTTGGCTTCAGAGGGAACAGACAGAAAACTAGAATGATGTGGCTAATTGATGAGCTTGTGAGTGTATTATGCTTTTATTCTTTTGATGCTAGTGAATAACGAATGTTAATACACTTCTACGAAGTGTAGCATTAGGCCTTTCTAATTAATTTCCGATTTGAAATGAATGCAGGGTGTTGAAGGATTCAGGGCAGAAGTAGTGAAAAGATTGCCTAATCAAGGGCTAGAGAGAGCATCTTCAGAGGAGTTGGTTGATAAAAAGTGGGTAAGGAGGGATTATTTTGGTGTGCATCCACAGAAACAAGAAGGCTTAAGCTTCGTTGGCATTCACATTCCAGTGGGCAGAGTTCAGGCAGATGACATGGAAGAACTTGCTCGATTAGCTGACACATACGGCTCTGGTGAACTCAGGCTAACAGTGGAACAAAACATCATAATTCCCAATGTTGAGAACTCGAAAATCGAAGCCTTACTCAATGAACCTCTATTGAAAGAAAAGTTCTCACCTGAGCCACCTATTCTCATGAAAGGCTTAGTAGCATGCACAGGCAATCAGTTCTGTGGACAAGCCATTATTGAGACGAAGGCCAGGGCAATGAAGGTGACCGAGGAGGTGCAAAGGCTAGTTTCAGTCACAAGACCAGTGAGGATGCACTGGACAGGCTGCCCAAATACCTGTGGTCAAGTTCAAGTTGCTGATATAGGATTCATGGGTTGCATGGCCAGGGACGAGAATGGAAAGCCTGTTGAAGGAGCGGATGTGTTTTTAGGAGGAAGAATTGGGAGTGATTCACACTTGGGTGATATTTATAAGAAGGCTGTCCCCTGCAAGGACTTGGTGCCCATAGTTGTGGACATTTTGGTGAATCACTTTGGAGCTGTACCTAGAGAGAGGGAAGAAGGAGAAGACTGATTCCATCATCTGACTAACTGGTTTTTTCCCAACTGAAAGGAACTTGTAAGAACATGTGGAGAAAGAATAGAATCTTGAAATGAAACTTGTAGGACCATTTTCATTTACCCACTAATGGGTCTTAAAAATGTCCTGCTGCTCCTCTGTTCCTGACCCCTTTTGGTTTGATTTTAAGAGGTTTTTTGGTTAAAGGGCAGGATCCCATATGAGCTCAGGTATCAGAATAAGAGCATGATTTGTCATGTTAAGATTTGATTAAGATACATGAACATTCATTGTATGTATTTCATCTGTTAATGCCATTCATCTTTTAATCAATCCATTGTTTCTACTCTCTTTCCATTTACTAATATCCTTAAGATAGCTCTCAAACATTTGAAACTAATATGGGTTTTGAGAAGCTTATGCATACCAATGTGTATGACATGTAAAATTATGAAGGCCCAAAAATATGTAGCGGGCCCGTTTATGAGTTTGGTACTGGGCTTTTAGTATTCCTTTTTAAAGGCCCTAAACCTATAAGCTGTCCTTCTATTGGGCCAGTAAAAAAGCCACAAAATCCAATGTGGTTTCAAATTTGTCATTCACGATTTTATTCTTAAATAATTAGTAAGTGAACAATTCTGTTGATAATCAGGTTTACAAAAATGATGGTAAGTACATAAATAAAATTTGATTTAATTAACTAAAAATGTTATCTGGTCATTAACTAATTTTTGTTCACCATCTCCTCTATATAGGCTTATATATATATATATATATATATATATATATATATATCTGTCTTCTATATTTCGAAAAACTCTATCTACAATTTTCAACTCATGGCCCAAAAATTTCTTGTAATCAAAGCTATATTCAAATACTTTGAATTGAAAAACGATCATAATAACAGATGGTCACTGTGATAATTGAATGAAAGATTGAGATGTGACGTGAATGAGAAATTAAATTTATTATTAAAGAAATAAACAATAATGTCCAAAAATTAAGCATGAATATTATATTATACCTATAGCTCTATTAATCAAAAATAGAGATACGACAATTTAAATTTTTTCATATTATGCATTAATACCTATTATTTAATAAT